AAACTCTTATCTCACTCTTACATTTTATATTCACCTTAATTTCAATTTAATATTTCTCTGTTAACACAGAAAAGCAATACGCTGCAGTTTGAATCAAATTCCCAAGTAAAAGCATAACCAAAGAAAGAAAGAAAGCGAAGCCAAATTTTCCAAGATTACATTATATATATAATACTCCTATAATATTACAATATGCCATTTTAAACGTTGAAACCCCCATACGTAAGATGTGAAAAATATAAAATTTTAACATTAAAATTATAATGAGAATAGCAACAGTACCTGATTCTACTTGTGTATGTTAGAAATAATTTAGTATTATTTGGAAGATAGATCCACATGCAGAGGAAAAGAATTTGTTGCTTCTCATGACAACTCAAATGAGTTACTCTCCGATGCTAGTAAAAGCACATTTGAGTTGCTAAACAACATTAAAGTAGAGAGAAAAACTCCTTTTAACACGTACATCGAATTAAATACAATTTTAACATCATATTGTATCATAATCTGCATAATAAATATTTTAAATAACTTGGGGAAGAAAGAACAATAAGAGTTCTCCAACCCCCATAATGAGTCTTCGGAAATTCGGAAATTAACAAACTCATGATTATCAATTTAAGTTTCGAAAAAATATCTCTTTAATCATATGTGTATTGAATCATAGAAACAAACTCAATTATTGATGTAAGATTTTTTTTTCCATGGACGGACACAAAAGTAAATGTTAAGTTCATCTCTATCAAAAAAACATATACATCGAAGGTATCCATTGAATTGAATAAATTTGACATAATTATTTAATCTACATATTTAAAAATATTGTGAAAAAAAAAAGAGAATTGTAGGAGTTCTCGAACCCCAAGAACTATAAGAGTTTTCTAGAACTAACAAACTCCTAATTATCTATATAAACATTGAAAAGATATGACCTTAACCCATATCTATATTTTTGACATCATAACTTAATCTACATATTCAACAAGCTTATGGAAAAGAAAATTGTAGGAGTTCCCGAACCCCAAGAACTATAGAAGTTCCCAGGAACTAACAAACTCCTAATTATCTATATAAGCATTGAAAATAAATCTCCTTAACCCATAAAATTGAGTCAAAGAAGTATGCAATGCTAAAACAAAAACCCAAGACATCTCTAATAAAGCAACTTGAATTGTAAAAACTCCATTGGAGATGCCCATTGAATTGAATACATTTTTGACATCATAACATAGTCTACATATTCGAAGATCTTAAGGAAAAGAATTGTAGGAGTTCCCGAACCCCAAGAACTATAGGAGTCCTCGGGAACTAACAAACTCCTAATTATTTATATAAGCATTGAAAATAAACGTCCTTAACCCATAAATATTGAGTCAAAGAAGTATGCAATGCTAAAACAAAAACCCAAGACATCTCTAATAAAGCAACTTGAATTGTAAAATCTCCATTGGAGATGCCATTGAATTGAATACAATTTTGACATCATAGCTTCGTCTACATATTCAAAATCTTATGAAAAAGAGAACTGGAGGAGTTCCCAAAACCCAAGAACTATAGGAGTCCTCCAGAACTAACAAACACCTAATTATCTATATTATATAAGCATTTAAAAGATATCCCCTTTGCAACTTCTTGAAACATCTTCAATGAAGCAACTTCTTGAATGTAAAAACTCCATTGGAGATGCTCATTGATTGAAATACATTTTTGACATTATAACTTAATCTACATATTCAAAAATCTAATGGGAAA